CTTTGTTTTGGCTTGATAAGTGAGTTGGGTTCTTTTATGTGTGGAGGTTTGACACTTGAGGCTATTGCCTGAAGCCCCTCTACATGCAGGCTTTACTTCCCATCTGAAAGGACTATTGAAATCCATCACAACCTGCACAGGCAGGACTTTAACCTTCCCAGACTGGATACACTGATCTATATGGATCGCTTAACACTTGCACTACATAATACCAACTGACAGGGCCATAGATTATGGTGCATGTTAGCAGACAGAAAATTTGGTTCCAACAATTATGCAGCATAAAATTTGTTAGGGAGCCCTTGCAGGGAGAATCCTGCAGACAGTACTGAGTTATGGCACGCTTTTACACAATTTCCCTGCGGACGACTCGCAAAACTTTCATACATTCATAATCTTGTTATATGGCTTGTCTTTACACTAATGGATGACAGTTGTAACATGGTAACAACGTCATCAATCTCCCTAACACAACCCCTAACTTCAACTTCCTCACATTCCTCAGGCTATGGCTACAGATCATAAGTTTGTCTGAGTATTCCTTCAAGTTAGTATTAGGTCATGCCGATGTTCTAGCCAGCCTGAATTTTTTTCTGTCATCTCAATTTTGTTTGACAAAACCAGTCGAGTGGTGAAGGCAAGACAATCCTATGGTGGTCTGGGGGTATGGTCAAGGGAGCTCCCCATGGGAAAACTTGAAATCTTGACTCTCTGAAATTTCCTGCATATTGAGAGGCAAATCTTGCTGGTAGACTTATAGTTTAATGACGTCTCATTCCACATTTACATACCAATTTTTGTCCATATCAAATATGACGGATTGGGCAAAATTCACAAGCAGAAAAATTTTATCAAATGACAAAAAGACAGACGCTGCCTAGAACACTCGGTCATGCCAAGTTATAATTTATTGTTGGCTCTTGCTGGATATACAATGTAGAAAGTCAATGCCAAAACAGAAAATATACAAGAAAATGCAAAATACTCTACACAGTTTCAGAATGTACATTGTCCTCTCCTGAACTGAGGAGGGGAGGTTGTACTTACCTGCAAGATGAGCAAGATCACAAAGTAAGCGTTTGCCACCCTTTGCAGCTGCTCAAACAGGTTGATAGGCAGGAAGGTGAAAACATTGTACTTTGATGTGCTGATGTAATTACTCTGGAATAAGAAACACAAAATATTGTAATGTATATCTATGTCTTACTATCACGACAAGCCAATGGGCTAATGGTGTTCTGAACATAATCTGAAAATCTGAACATAAAACAAAATAGTTTGTGAGGTCATAAAAATGTGGTATGACAGTTCCAGTGATACTGAGCAAATATGACTTTAACACGTATAAAGATAGTCTACAATGATGCTGTCATATTTCTGACACATTTCAGATAAAGATGGAATTGAAATACGTTAATGTCTGATTCAGTGTCTGATATCATTTCTTAGGACCGTACATGTTGTAAGCAATTAGCCTCTGGGAACAATTTGGACACTATGACTTTATATTTTGAATCATATCAGTTTCTGAATTCTATCGGGGACACTGCCAATTATCAAATATGACTTCAATAATAATCTATCATGTTGCTAAGGTATGTCAAACGCACAGGTAGCGTGACGAAAGTACTGATAAACACAATAAAGGACAATAATCTTACCGCATAGCCGAACTGTTTATTGTACTCCAAGTCATTCGTTCTAATCTTCCTCTCCACCTCTGCAATGAAATATTACGACATGCAATTATTAACACACACAAAAGACTTACTCGCTTCACCGGGCACTGTCGCATTTTGGCTGCATTCAACAATCATTCCAGGAGCATTTCAACACAAGAATTTCTCAAACTGTCATTCTATTTTCATGCCTTGATCATTCTATTAGTCATTTTCAAAACAGTGTCAAATAATCTTCAGTTTTTATCCAGTGATTGTGAAACTTGCAGATGGTATACCTTGGTTGAGTACCCTTGCAATTTTGTCTGTAAATTCATTCCTTTTTCTTATATACAGTTATGCTTTCTATGATTAATGTTGTTTTGACACAAATTTTTGACAACACGCGAGTGTCAAATGCAAACAATACCCTGTCCTCAATTATCCATTGATTTCTGATGATAAGAGAGTCCACAAGGTGATCTTCAAAATGTGCCTTCACTAATTTTTGCAGGCCATTGTCATTACTTCCTCCAATTATCTACTATGGTAACAAGAGAGGCACAGACAAACAATCCTAAACTGATACAGCACACATGCTAGATAGGTAAAAAATTCATCTGCATGATGTATATTCTGTGAGGTCTTATGGCCATTGGGGACTGTACGATATTTACCGGGGAGGGGGGGCCGGTCGTCCGGGGGTAGCGTAAAGAAATTTTTCCTAGGCCCTCCCCCCAGGTCAAAAAATTTTTCCTAGGCCCTCCCCCCGGCTCAAAAAATTTTTCCTAGGCCCTCCCCCAGGCGTGAATCATAGAGAGTGAAATTTCGTATGGGGAGGACGAGATTTTGATTGAAAATTTTCCCCGCATGAAGCGCCGAAGGCGCGAGCCATTGCACCGCAGGCGCCACTAGAGCCCGAGTAAGCCCGGCTTTTTTTGCCCCCCCCGGAAAAATTTTGAATTTCAACCCACGTTTTGCATGTTGAGGTGCAAAATTGGCAGCACAAATTTCGCTGGTACATCGAGCTACTTAAGTCAGTAACGTTACGGTCAGTCAGTTAAATCGAAATAAATCTAGCCTACCTTTCGTCCACGAACTTCTTCCGCGTCAAATTATTTTATTACAAACAGGGAAACAATATTGCCAAGTTTACGTGTTGTTTTCAATTAACTTTGGAGGGACATAGATATAAATGTTAAAATAGTTCTTGGTTTTAAAAAAAATACCAAATCAATCCGTCGACATCCGACATCCACGCCAAGAAGTTTGAGCGAGTTGCGAGCCGGGACCAGCGGGTCACCTTTGCCGATGCGCGCACACCACTGGGAAGGGTGTGTTGAACGGCGAAAATTAATTATCAAAATCTTCCGACAAGCCTTCCCTACATTTTTGATCGGTATTGTTTTGATAGCCGCGATTGACACGACTTTAATCCATGTAATTTGGCTGTGTAGTCCAGTTTCGCCGATCCTGGCGAAAATGCAAGATTTTGAAGAGGACTGTGGGAGATTTGGGCGAATACATTTATAATAATAGGGATGGATATTATTGGAGCGTAAAATTCTGCCGATTCCAATGACCGGCAAATCGCTACGATATGTATGGGACAGACGTTAATAATGTTTTGGAAATGTATAAAAACGTTGTAGAGTAAAAGGGATCTTGGAAAAAATTTTTACCTAGGCCCTCCCCCAAATTAGAATATTTTTTCCTAGGCCCTCCCCCCGGCTCAAAATTTTTTTCCTAGGCCCTCCCCCCTCAGACGAACGGCCCTCCCCCCCGGTAAATATCGTACAGTCCCTTGGGTAGCCGTAGCCTAGCTATATTCATCAAACATTTTCTCTGTCACACAAAGTATGTATTACTGCCAGTAAAGGTGCAAAAAAGAAAAGCTGAAATTGATATAAAAGGTCATGTAATGTTGGATCCCAAGGTCTAGTTACAACTCAAAAGCTACAGTGACGCGTACCAAAGTCTATGTATTGAGGGATATCCCGCAATGTTTTGTTGGATGTTGGTACACATACCTAAATTGTCACTGTACCTTTTGGTTGTAAAGATACTAAGGGGGGCTTGTGATCCTACATTACGTATTAATAAATATAATGTGGTTTATCTAATACTAGTATATCAATTGTAGCTTGCTTTTTTATGGATGATTCCTGAATATTGCAGCTTTCTTCTGGGTTATTTAGGGTTAAATCAACTAGCCAAACAAACAAACAGACAGGATAGTGTACAAATAGATGCCTGAAATAAAGATGGACACAATGTATGCAAAAGACTAAAACTACAGTAACTCTGCGTAGCTTCACTACCAATAGAGCCAGAATGGCCAAACATCACACAAGTGTATATGCATACTAGATACATAAATCATAGGTTACATACCTTCTTCCTTTTTGCGGAAACAGTTAAGGCAGCCCTTCATCTTTCCCCTTTGCTGTTATGATCTTCTCGACTCTGTGGGGAGGAACAATGCAGGAATACAATGATAACACCGAAGTCTCATTGTACAAATTGGCTGATACCTATTAATAATT